GAATAAATGTTTTACTGTATCATAAATTTTATCTTTGTTTGGTTTCTTAACTTTTTACTACTATGGGAAGATTTATTTCAGCAATTTCATTCCAATTTATTAATAGCAAACGATTTTTTGTGTTAAAAAAGAAAAATCAAAGTAAACAAACATTATCTAGGTACGTTGTCAAACCCTATCCTTAAATATTTAGATGAACATTACTTAAAAAATATGAAACTGTCAACGTGCTACTGTAATTTTGTAATTGTAATATAAAAATAAATTTCATTTGTATTACTTAATTTCCATCCTTCTTTTCTTACCTTTATTGTTCCACCAGCATATTTTTTTGTGTTGATATCAAACGTTAATATTAATTTTCGAAATAATATAAAAAGATAGAAGTTGTTAATGACAATTTGTTTAATTGATTTTGTATTATAGTCAAGTTTAAAAAGAAAACAACAAAATACCAACCTACCTACTTATTTGAGGAAAAATTTCTTAAAGAAAAATAAATTGTATTTTTTACAATTTTAGAGAGTTTATTAGTTATATTCGTATTAACAATTCGTCTTTGTTGTTTTAGTCTACATTTCTCTATATAAAACACATTTCTTATAATTCCATCAAAAACGATAAATGAAAAAATATTGTAACAATCGGTTTATCAATTGGGAGCTAAAAATCTCTATAATTAACGCTCTCGTCACGCCACGATTACAGCGCTGACAGATAGCGATTATTTACGACTCTAATTTATAAAAAATTCTGTGTTGTTGTTACAGTTCCTTTGTACTTTTACTTTTTAACTACAACTTTACTTAGGTATAATATAAGAACAAAATTAAAAAAAAAACTGTTCTAACTTACAATGAAACTTAATTGTATAATAATTTATCTATAACAAAAATAAAACTCTTTATTAGAATCGATTCTTTATGTTAAAATGGATAGGAAACCAAATCTTTTCTACTTTTTACATACAACAATTAATATATGTAGTTTTATAATCTCAGGAAAGAAAAAATGTTTTGATTTATTCTATTTTTTTACTAAAATGTTATATTATTATTACATTACAAGCCCCAAAGCGTATCTTATGATGAAAAAAATCAGTTATTATTTTTTCTTTATTAAAAAGTTTATCAAATGAGAAAAATTTATTCACATATAGCAAGTCAAGTCTTAATAGCTATTGCTATAGTCATCCAGCGCTTTTAATATATCTACTTGATATCTCATTTCAGTAAAAGCCCTCGAAATTATAGCTTTATAACACTAGGATTGCAATAGTGTTATTCCAATAAGTTTCACTCTGATTTCTTGGAGTGGCTGTTAAAATACACTAGGTATATCGAAAGCTCTTTCAACAAAATCACTTATTCCCTAATTGTAAAATTCCGTATCTCGATAGCCTTATATCAGTCATTCATTATTGATCCTCCTTATCGTTTTTTCGTTCAAAGTCCGCCTTTCGTCTAGTTCCTTTGAAGCACTTTTCGGGCCAATACAAAGTCGATGCATTATTATAGCGGTTGGTACGGCAAGGATAATTAGATCAATACGTGTTTGATGTAATAATGTTGTACAAAAGCTTGTTCTACCTTTGTTCTATAATTAGTATGCATAGATGGGGAATTGTTCTCGCTACTGCATTAAAAACGCCAAGTAAATAATACCTGCTGCATTCCTGGGCCCTCCAACAATCGCAATCAATACAAACGTCGCATATAATGTGACAATAAGGCGGTGGCACACGACATCTAATTAGCCAAAATGGCGCTAAAATTTGACGAGGATTTTCATCGGAGCGCGCGAAATGCGACAACGTATGCCAAAAGCACACACTCGAGTCGTATAAAAAGTAGCTGGGAGAACCACCTGTTGCGGGAAAACCCTTACAAATTCGACCAAGAACTTAAACAAGAAAGCAAACACGATACCTCAGACTGATCGCTTCCGGACCACTAATTAACCCAATCGACGGAAAAATTCAAACACCTACATTGAACCTGAATATTAAGTGCTTAAGCAATATTATCATTAACAAAATTTTGTATTTTTCTCTAGTACTTATTTGAAGTGTATAGTCTAATTTGTAAAAGCGTTAATAATTCATTAGAAAAGTTTACAAAAAAATCAAACTCATACACTTTAAGAACACTAAACCAAAAAAAGCACACACTTATCAAATTTTTGAAAGCGCTTTCCTAGCTCGTCGCTCACAACACTACAAGTTTGAAGAAAAAAAAAAAGGCATGAAAACTGGACACACTTTACTATTAAATATTACTATTAATGTTCTAATATTTTAAAGCTTTAAAAAAAAATAAGTTTGGCTTGTGCCCTAAAGCTATTCCCATAATTTTTTGACCCCTCCATCAGGAATCCCTTCTCTCCTGAAAATTATTTATATCTAAGTTTCGGCGAAAAATCCACGAGTTGTACTCCAACCGTTCTACATTTCGTTTCTTTAACTTTCGATTTTTTTTTAAACGAAAGTCAGTTGTTTCGCAATTGTTTCGTGGGTGTAACATATCTTTTCATAAACACACGGTGAAAATCTCAACGATGCAATGTCTGTCTGCTTCCGGATATTTATAGACTGTAAGTGGTCCAATTTTATACATTCCGACTCATATTTCTGTTTATTTTTCCATTTTACGAGCCTCTTCTCGCTTTTATGGTGGAATTTTCACGATCGATGAGACAGACACACACGTGACGATTTTTTTAATTTTGTGTCATTAGCTCAACCTCGTTGATTAAGTTTCGGTATGTAGAGATTAATTAAGTTCGCGTGAAAAAACGCCATGTTTTGAATTTAGATGTGAAGTGGCGACCTCCACTTGGGATACAGTTTTCTATTTTTAACTGTTTGTTTTTGTTTCGTGCCACTGTATATTTTGTTTACCGGATTTTTGATTTTGTGTGCATTTTGAAAGGTTCAGGGATTTGGTGTTTTCTCATCGATGAAATATGCTAAACAATTTTTCGTGCAAAAAGGTAAACTATGAAATAGTGGGGGCTTTAAAATAAAGCTCTACTATCGCAAGAAGAGTTTTGGAATCAGAAACACAATTTTTGAACCAATGTAAAAATGTCGAAGTTTATTATAAAAAAAAGAATTGTTGTGGAGATAGGGAAATAGGGAAGTTGTACCTAATAATAATTTTTCATTAAATAAAAAGATTGTGCGATAGTATTAAAATTTTATTAAAATTCGAAAAGTTTTACGAGAATTATAAAGGTAGTAAAATTAATGTCTTGCCCTAATTTCATTTTTATTGAGATAAAACAAAATTTGGTCATCTGACGAAAGTAAAATTTTTGTTGTTAGTAATTAGAAAATCTCTCATTTTCGCTTTATGTAGTGCATTATATCCAACAATTATGAACTTTAATTCCGAGGAATTGCAATAAGCTTCATAAACGGGCACAACAAGCTTCATACGATAGTTCCCTTTATTATCCCTTGCCGTGCTGTAAACTTTATAGTCCATTCAACCAAAGAATTTTGAAACAAGCCATCGTACATTTTAGAAAAACATCCTAAACGAAGCTGTTATTATTTCTGATCGTGTTAAGAAGCTGTATTAACACCTCTTGTCGAAATACAGCGTATAGTATTTGCGTTGTGCTAAAGACAACACAGATGAGGAGTGCCCAAATTAGTTGAGATGAGTCGTTTGCGGCCTTCTCGAGCATTCTTAAGACAAGAGAGTTAGCAGTATTGTTTTAGGTATACTAATGAGGTTTATCAAAAGAACGAGCACGAAAAAGTCGATATAAATTCAAAACCAAACGCAATTAACCGACAAAGGTTTTGTCAAACAACACAGCGACTTCCCAGGGGCGGGAACGTGGAAACGTTTAATTTTAAAACAGATATGTGCGCAAAAAGCCGCACAAAAACAAAGGTACAATATAAATGCTCAATTTAAATTTCAAACTGACGTTGGCAACAGTAATTGTAACGTATGTACCTACACCCTTGACGGTATAGACAACACAATGACCGTTAATGGCCAATTTGGAAGTGTTTCATATTATATTATGACGGTCGCAGGTTTGCTTCTCGGGGCAATTTTTTGGTGGACTTTTTTTGCGTCTACCCGCGCGCTTTGGTTAAATAATTATTTAATCGATCGGTGGCATCGAGGCCAAGGAAAACAAACGGAGACTGGAGTATACAAAGTGTTGCCTTGATTAAACATCGAACTAAAAATAAAGGACTTGGGAATGTGCAAATGCGAAAAGCAAGCCGATTTCACCAAACAGAGAAAAGTTTTTACGGCGCGGCTATTTTCTCACACTAGGACTTGATCAGATTTAAGACCTCGAATCTCTCGAATACGAAATCAAAAATGAAAGTAAACAAAAAATAATATTACGCACGAAGGAAAACAAACAAACGTGTGAGACTAACAAGGGTGACACCAAAATACATTCGACAAGAAAAGTGTTTCGAAATAAGCTTTACAGAAAGAATTAAAAAAAGTTTTTAAAGTTGAATATATTTTTTAAACAATGGCTGGAGGTTGTTCTTAAACAAAGTCAGTAAATTAAAAATAAAATCAATGGAAAAAATCAGCGATTCGCTTTACGAGCTTCTAATGCTTCAAAGTTGAGAATACACTTTGCCGACTTTCAAGTACTTTTTAGTTATCCGATTTGTGCTAAAAGCCGCTTGTAATATTTTTAATTTATATTAGGTAGGTATAGTGCAATCGATATAAGACAAAGCAGAAATATTTTATATTTTATTAGAATAAAAATTTTCGTCGTAAATCATCGAAAATTAATTAAATCGTTGCGTTACCTTCGTCGCTGTAATCCTTTAGTTAAATTTTTATTGCATCAAAACAAATTGAATTTTTGATCATGATGACAGCTGTCATGCTCGTATAATACCGAAAAAACCTCCCAAAGTTGTCATGACCGTTGTCATCGTGCTAATTGAGGAGTAAATTTCGTTTTCTCTATTATTGTCAATAACCATTTGTTTGTTTCAGACACGGAGCAATCACAGAAATTCCAATAATAACACAGATACCGGCGCTAGGTGAGTGGAAAATAAAAATCGCTGTCACGTCGATGAGAGAGGTCGAAGGGTTGATTGGTGGGGGTGTGTTTGATGGTAGATTTATTTATTTATTGTGTGCGAGTTGCGGTTTTATTAAATTGGGACCGGGGGCTTTTGGAGATGAGAAAAGAGCTCTTTTTCTTTTTTTGCTACATTTTTGAGGGCACATTTCCCGAGAGAAATAAGACCCAAAGTTCTAAATACAAAGAACAAACAAATAATGCCTTTTGACAAGTCTGATGGGAATCGAAAGAACCGATCCTTTAAAATAAGTAATATTTCAAAAAGTAATATCAGGAAATTAAAGACGCTCGAGGTGCTTGGAAAAAATCCCAAATTAAAAATCTTATTCGAAAAAGGCAAGCAGTGTTTAGCGGCCATCAAAACATTATCCCAACCTCGACGTTGTTAGTCGCCACTGGTGTCATTTCCGTGTATGTTGGCGGCGACAAAAGGAAAAACAAGCTCTCGGAGCAGGGATTAAAGCGGAGACATGCCTCGGCGAGTATTTGCGAATCAATATTTACAAAAGGAGAAAAATGCCATTCGAAGTGAGAGCTATTACACTGAAATATTCATGTTCGTGTCTGTGCGGAGTATCCGATGGATGTAAAGTGGTTGTTTTACACAGTTTCCGTAATGGCAACGGCCCCCCGCGAGCTGCCGCCCCCGTCGACACCTACAGTTTTGGCTTGATTTGCTTTCGGCACGCGTGGGGGCGGCGGAGCAAAGAGAGGTCGTAATCGCGTAGATTACTCGTCTTGGAGCGGCAGCAATTAAATGCCGGATTATGACAGCGACGGTCATAATCAAACCAATGACGGATTAAAGCGACAAGGTGAAGATGATGCAGAAAAGAAAAGAAAAGGAAATCCTATCTTTAGATACAATCAAAAATATTTATAATTTTCAAAAGAATCTTGAATAGCATTGTTTTTTAATTATTTTTTCTTCAAAATCTATTTAAATTTTTCCAATTTTTGAAAATTTTTATGGTTTCTTCTCTTCTCTTTTTGTTTAGAAAAAGTAATAGGTTGGAATGTTAATTACTGGTGTATGATGGGAAATAGAAACACAAATTGTATGTTAATCATAATTTAATCTCAAAAATAAATATATACACAAATAAAATAAAAATTATAATTGTATTTTTTACTTACTTACAGTTTCTTCTGGTAATCGGTACATAATGTATTTTTCATCCGTCGACTTGTAAACCTACAAAAGTTTTTTTGTCTCTGAATAGTCTTCCAAAGTGCCTCGTAGTCTATTTATAATTCAGCAAATTATTTCCAATTTTATTTTCCTGGTACACGAGAGAATCACTAAGTACATACATAAAGAACCACCAAGACGAAACAAATTAATTCAATTGAATTCGGCTCACTTAATTGCGAAGTAATAATCGTGAACGTCTCGTAATTTGCAAATTTCTGTTAGAGAGAAAAACTAAAGTAAATCTTCTTAAATTCGCAAAATCGTCAGCTGTGTTAGTGAACGAGACCGCAGCCACTTTTGCTACAAATTCAGTAGTAATTTCCTCGTCCGATTTGAGCAAACGAAACCGACCGCAACTCCATCAGTTTCATTTGTCCGAAACGTTGTGTAATCCCTCTTGTAAACATGTTCGTAAGTGCGGCATCCCTCCGTATTTACTTAGAGTTATTTAAATTTGCCGGACCTCGAACCGAACGAACGAATTTTTAATGAGTTCGTGAGACGAAAGCCACTTTGCGGTTGCAAATTTAAAAATTCCTTTGGATTTTATTAAATTAACGTGGACATACATGCTGAGTTAAGAAATCGAAACGAAGAAAAACAGAAATGACATTATTGAATGTGCGGCGAAAGACCTTATAAAAAATTCAGACAAGCGGCTTCGAGCAACACCAATAAAATAAATTTGCACGGCCTGGATAATGAATTTGTTATTGGTTTAAAACGATTGATTTGCGTCGATGTTTTGTGTTATTTCAAACAATATTTGCGCGATTACAAAAGGCTGATTGGAATTATTCGGAATATGTTGTCGGAAAGCAGTTGCTAGTTTGTTTTTAATTCAATAGACGACGAACTCGACGTTTAATTTAATTTAGGGAATGGAATGATCCAAAGGCCAAACGCGAATTGCACACGTCTCGCCATTCTAGCTTTTTAACAAGAAACAAATAAAAATTAAATATTTTAGAGTTTCATATACATGCACAAAGGTGTCTGAAAACATCACACATTTTTCACCAAATAAAACTTATAAAACACAGTGCCTAAAATAGAACTTGAAAATCAGCAAAATAAAATACAAAATCAACCACAAAAATGTATAAACCGTTTTTATCTAAAAAAATTAAAAAAACAATTTTATAGACAGAGAGACAAAGTATTAATAAAATTAAAATTACGTCGATTATGTTGTTAAAATTTCTATTCACAATCACTAATGTAATATGCCGATTACTAACCTTTTAAAGGTTGGGAAACATATTATTAAATCACATGAGGAATAATAATATATATTACTTCTTTTGTCAAATTACGCATAATATTTTGCTAAATTAGTATCCAATTGCTTCTGTAGCAGTTTCTCTTACTTCTGGGGGTACTACACTGCTCCATTTCAACAATTTTAAATCAGATTCACACATTATTTCAATATTTTCTTTGACATTTCTGAAATGTCAAAAATCAAACGCAATTTGGATGGCCTACCACGTTTGAACCTTAACTTTGTTAGAATATTATTTTACTCAAATTTTTTACTGAAAATAATGTAATTGTAAATAAAATTGCATATACAAACCACGGTGGTAATGGCATTACCCTCTATGTTTTATCCGATTTCTGGCGCCTCTCGATCGTATCCGTAAGCACTCGGGGTAATGTCATATTTACCACCTCGCTTGTAATGGACTATTACCTAATTTAAAAAAATATATCTAAGTTAACTCTCCAAGTAACATTTTGTACCATCCCTGAAAACCTCTGTGGTAAATTAAGTTAGCACCTTTAGAAATTTTAGAGCATTTTTTGTTGTACTGATCAATTCATTTCCAAAATTACGTTATTAACTTTTTGAAGTTAGAGAAACAATAACAATGTCATTGTAGCCTGACAGTCAGGTATGATTAAAATTCTGTAATATCGTTTTTTTTTTAATAACCGCCCATGTTATTTTATCCTTTTTTCTTGTAAGCGGGACCTCTTTCAAGATTTTTGCTTATGGTACTTTTTATTGGCGATTAACATTTTAAGTAATTTAGCATTTTTAAAATGCATGTTAAAATACATTTTAAGGACTAGGGTTATTTAACATTAATCCCTACCTACTAAATAGTCTACAGTTTAAATTTCGTTAGAATCTATTGGCAAATAATAGAGATGTCGTAGTCATTCGGCGTAATGCGTCATTCCGCGGAAAGCCTAGTCATTGGCCGTACTGCCGGCAGAAGCTGTAATCAAATGAATATTCATTCGTTTGACTGAAATTTTACGTCATTGCCGGGATTGCCCACTTAATTCTCGTCAATTAAAGTAACCGGTTAAACCATTACATATTACAGCGTTTGACGGAAGTGTATTTAGTCATTTGTTGAAAAGTCTTGAAATGTTGGAAACTTGCTGTAGAAATGTAAATTTTAGGTAGAAGAAAAGAAAAGCCAAAAAAACTAAATATTTTTATTGTAGCAAAATATTTGTTCCGTTTATTTGAAATAATGTAAACATATAATATAATAAAATCATACAAAAAACGTTAAGGTCATGACCTAAACAACAGATAAAAATATATTTTCTGCATTCAGGTAAATTGGCAAGTAAAATATCTTTTGCAGCCTAAAATATYTACAACTGAAATAAAGGTMTARTTTGAGGTTAGAAGTCTTTTACCTCSTTCATTTCTTCATAATTCRACGGTTTTTTGCATCTTTGTTCTTCATATAATATGTTAATWTACAACAATAAATATATCTAGTTTTTTTGGCTTTTCTTTTCTTCTACCAAAAATTTACATTTCTACAGAAAGTTTCAAACATTTCAAGACTTTTCATTTCAACAAATGACTAAATACCTACACTTCCGTCAAACGCGGTAACATGTACTGGTTTAACCGGTTACTTTGTTTGACTAAAATTAAGTGGGCAATCCCTGAAATGACGTAAAATTTCAGTCAAACAAAGGAATATTCATTTGATTACAGCTTCTGCCGGCAGTACGGCCAAAGACTAGGCTTTCCGCGGAATGACGCATTACGCCCAATGACTACGACAGAGACATTAGATCCGAAAGTTTCATTAGTTGGGACGAAAAAAAAGCAACATAACAACTTTAAAATAAATAAAGTCAAAAATGACTAAAAAGTGTAAAGATATTTTTGAAAAAATATTTTGATGAGACTATTCTAGTAGACACTTAATGTAAGGCCAGCCTCCCCGCTGAGAATTAGCAACTTTTTGACCTGCCATTAGCCGCCGACCCTCGTTTGTGTATAATTACTCGTGTGACACTTGCTTCCTGGATTTCGCCGTTTTGGCTTGTCGGTCTAGGTGTTTCCTTCCGGCCTTTAGCAGTCCGCGTCTCTCGTCCGGCGTTCTAATTGGTTCCTGTTTGAAAAGCGTCAAAAATGCAAAAGGGCATCGTCGTGATCGTTAGATTTCCCCCGAGTGGTCGAAGCGACGTCGACCGCCGCGCCGGTTAAATATTGACCTTCGGGGGCCACCTGTGGCTGGCGCCGAGTACGTAATTTTTCGGGACGCTGATCCCTGCTGACAGGGGGCGGTGTGACAAACAGGCCGTGTGTACCCACTATTAGTCCCGTGTCAAGTGTCCGGACCTAGGACCCCCATCCCGCTCATATTTCACTTAACCTGCGATAAATTCCTCTGCTTTATCACGTTCACGGAACGTAGCACCGTAATGATGTTATAAAATAGACACTAAATTATCCGGAGGAACTTCAAGGGGATTTATAAGTTTGGACCGGATCGCGAGCGAAAAATGAACAAGCGGCGTAAATCAACTGCGGGGGGATGACCGCGAGTGTAGGCAACCAAGAGCACAAAGACAGGGATGGCGCAGATACGGATGAGCTGTTTACAACTTGTCCGGAGTCTCGCAACTTCCACGTCGCTAATGAATACACGTCAGAATCTATTAGTTATTATTAGCTTGACTGACGGCTAACACTCGTTCATTGTAGCTTCCAGACAACATACGCTGTTTCATATCATTGAGAAAATAAACAAACTATTCGCTCTTAATTTTCCTCCAAACCGCTGAAAGATGATAGAGTCTTGACCATCGTTTAACAGTTTCTGTTTTACTTTAATTTAGAAACAAAAACCCATAGACTTTTTAGATAACGTCGTGAACTAAGAATTTATATTTATTTTAATAATAATAATACTAGTGTTTATGAATTTGTGTCTTGATTTGATAAGTAAATTAAGCAATAAAATTAGAATGCTTTGATAAAAGTGAGGTTTAACTACTAATTGCGAATTAGTTAGAACTAAATATAGATATTTTTAGTCTCCTGAATTGAAAATTATCTATCTGTCAACACTGCGGTAGAAATTGCGGTTGACTCTGGGCTGTTAGATACCATTAAAATAGTTATTTATTATACAAGACGATAAAATTGAATTTTATCTTTGGGAGCAATTTAGCTAATATTAATAATATTAAGCTAATATGCTCGAAAATATAATGAAAATTTTATCGTGTGGTACAATATAACATTTTATTCAATCTTCACTAATTTTGTAGTCAATTTGGTCTATATTTATAAATGTGAAAGTAAAATTCAACAATGAAATCTAATGTCAAAGATCGTTAGCAACTAACAACCGCAGATATACAGGTGCGCCAGAACTCGCGCCCCAGAGAAAATTTTCAAGTAAGGTAAGATACTAGGAACATGAAAAAATGTTTAAAAAATTATATGTCAAAATATTTTAACATATTTATTTTTTGACATTTGACATTTTTTTATATCTATTTAATGATACTGATCATCTTGTATATGTTTTTTTTTACAATTATTTAGTAAAGGGACAAAAATTTTGCCAATAAAAGACACAAATAACATTGAAAAGAGTTACAATTTAGGATATAGCTTCCTTGTTTCCTCTTTTAATAGCCTATAGCAAAAAAAATTGAAAAATTATTTTCCAACATTCCAACAGAAATAAATAGAATTAAAATGCAAACTTTAAACCCTCATAACTTCAAAATTTTTGTAGATAATTTTTTTTTTAACATTTTTTCCATGTTCCTGGTATCTTACCTTATAAGACATTTTTCTCTGGGGCGCGAGTTTTGGCGCATCCTGTATAACAATGGATGTATTTTTTATTATCTAGACAATAAAATTTTATTTTAACATAAAGAAAAGAGTAGATAAAATTCAATTTTAACATAGAGGATTAAATAAAATAAATTACTAGCGCCAGAATGAATAGAATTCTAAAAAACTTAAGCATTCTCTTTTAAAATTCAAATTCTAATATAATACTTGACACTAAAGATTCTTTGATTTGCAATCTACTGTTTTGCGTACTTTGCGTTGCAAAATCCAACTTTACTCTATTGTAAATAACTATTAACAAACTAGCAAATTCAACAATAAATTAAATCCAACATCGGAAACAAAAAAAACTAATATGCTTACACGATAATATGAAAATTGAAAGTTCTGTTTTTTTTTTAAAAAGCTTGAAACAAAAATCTGAATTCATTTTTGTGCTTAGATGAAAGTGTTCTATCATCATTCGAGAGTTAGTCCGACATTTTTTAATCACCCGTATAATTTTCTAAACAATTTGTCTAAGTTGCCTTCCCCGGGACGATAGATATTTTATATAAAAAAATATTTTTTTGATTTTTTACAAACTCATTCCAACTTAAATTTTCATAAACGAAAGAAGAAACTATACTATTTACATTATTATCACGAACTGAATCATATGAAAACAGACGAATGAAAGTGTTACAATTGATTGCGACTTTTTTGGCCCCCCCCTGATAATAATTTCTGCGGCGCCAATGGGTATACTACATTTTCTTTTTAATCAAAAAGATAAACAAAATGTAGTTTGTTAAAATTCTTAGCTTATGCTTGAAAAACTTTTAAAAAGTTCTTCGGGACATCTGTATCTATAGCTACCAATGAATTGGAGGGAGTTACTCCCTCCACTTCATTGATAGCTACATACACATCACCTCCTTTCCATGTTAACAATATGTTCATAAAATCACTCGCTACGCTTGTCAAATATTGCATCATAGTTTCTCCAAAAACACATTAGAACACATCACTTTTTTCGCCGTTGCGGCAGTTTTTAACTAACAGTCCATCCAGTTTGTGACAAATTTAATTTTCTTGGAAACTGGAAATTTAACAACTACTTCTTGGTGGATTCTCTTGGAATAATGAACACAAACACAATTTAACCCGACACACCAAACTTTTATTATAACATTAAATTTAAGTTTATTTGTTTGCTGTTGCCAAATTTAGTAAAAAATCTGACATGTACCCCCTGCTACGATAAATATTCGTTTCGAGCCCTTTTATTTCCATAGCCCCGGCTAGGTGAGCGCGTCTCCGTGCGAAAGTGTTTCGGACTTTGAAATATCGCCGGTGCGAGATGGTAAATTTGGCATTTCCCGGTGGAGTCGAGTAACCGAGTCGAGGCGACAGAGACAGCATGATTAATACCCCATTTTCCCCGAGGAAGACAGATAGTCATGGGGCACCGCCGCATCATATTCCTGACGGCGTCATTCTGCATGTTATTGTTTTCTTAATAATGCACGTGGTGCAGCAATAAATTCGGTCATCGTTGACACTTTAACTGGTTTTCCAGAATGAAGACAAGTGAAGCGGCGTCACAACCCGACGCGGGGGGACATCCTTCGGACCCCAACGACGGCTTCCGAGCCAGATATAACTTCAGAATTGGAATTTATGGATGGAGGAAGCGATGTCTTTATATCCTCATCCTTGTGCTGCTCGTGATGGTGATTGTCAATTTAGCGCTCACGCTGTGGGTCCTCAAAGTTATGGAATTCTCATCGGTAAGTCCATTAAAAGCTAACTCTTTTCTAATTACACAAAATTTACATTTTTATTTCCAAAAAATAATTTCTCTCAAATTAAACATATATTTTCAAGAAAACTTAATTTTATTGTTTGTTCAAATTTTGCTGTTAGTGTACCGTGCTCTTTGACTGGCTTTATTTCATGAGATGCTCAAACCCTTAAAATCTAGCAAGTGTTCCGTAACGAGAACACGTTTCCGGTCCTAGAAATGATTTAAAAAAATCTTTTTCCTTAGTTGAGCATAAAATGCTGGCGATAATGAGTTCTTGAAATCTTCAGTAAAATTCCACTTGGTAATTATGTCCTGAGGTCTCGAGATAAGGATGTTAAATATAAAACATAAAGTCCCTGGCTTTTTAAATTTTCGTAATTAAAACTTCTTTAATTGAGATGCAACAGTTGTTTCGGATTCTCTTTGATACGGAATATAATGTTATTCGTTTACTTGTTGGTTTTTCCACAATCGAGCTGGCAAAAAATAGCTTTTTATAAAAGATAAGTGCTCCGGGTTATTGTGTGCGATTTTAATTAATGCTGTGCTAACGAGATCAAATCTATCGAAATAAAATTATAATGAAAAAAAATTGGACGGAACACAAAGCGGAGCACGAACTTAGACCGGTAAATCCTCACGACATTTCAATTTGCATATTACCACGATTCGAAAATTGAATAGGAGCTTTAATCACAAGATGCTACACCAAACACAACAATGAATACGAATAAGAGTTTCTAAAAACATTATAACAAAAGCATGAAATTGGAAGCTGACACCGAAACGGTCCGTTATAAACCCGGTTTCAAATTTTCTTGCTGATTTTTTTTTAAAGAGAACCCAAATGGCAACTAGGCACCACAATTAAATTCTACAACATTTTACCCAAAGAAATAAAAAAAAAAATTGATATTAAAGTATAATCTACCAAAAGAATTGAAGCTATTTTAATTGAAAATACCCTTTATAATATTAAAGTCATAACAACATATTTATAGAGTTTTATGACCCCTTTTTCTGATGGCTTTTGTAATAAATTTTATATTAGTTTTTTAACATAAATAAATTAAATATATTGAATAAAGAATATGTTGAATATGACTTACTATAGGGTTTGCCAAATAAAGAAAAAGTAGCATATTTTTATTTGTCCGCAAACGTCACAAAAGTGACCACTTTTATGTCTAACTATCACAAGTAAAAGTTTTACCTCTCAGCTATAGAGTAAGTGCTTAAACGTTTTTACTTTTACCATTACATAAACTATCACTTTATTCCTAATAAGTAATAACATAATATGCGATTATTTCGCATAATTTTTATTTCAATCGACACTCAAGTCTTTATTATAGATAGGTACTACAAATACAGTAATCTAAGAGGTTTGCATCAAGAAAATTCGCGAGAAAAAAACATAAATATCCAGAGTTTCAGAACATTTTTTTCATACAATATTTTCACATTTTCTTACTTTTCGTTTTAGATCTGAGTCAAAGAATGCCAGTATAAAGCTATTTACAATCTAAACCATAAGACGGCCAAAAAGTCGCGTAAATTATTGTGGTGTAATATAGTTAATTGAATAAAATAAAATAATCATTTTAGAAAGTGATTTTTATTGTCTATAAAAAGCAGCTGCTTACTTTAGAGAAAAATGCACATCTATTACTAATAAAACGTACATACAGTCATTTAAAAAAAAGTTTAAGATTTCAACCTCCCCAAAAAATACTATTTTCAACACTTCAAAACTTAAATATGTTTTTCCGATTTTTAAAGTATTGACACCTAAAAGGGTTGACTTTAAAACCGGCAAGAATATATTTTATAGAACTTATGTTTTGTGTTATTACTGCAAAGAATGTGGTGTCGCTGACTCGTAATCAGATTATGAATAATAAACTACCGGCGTCGCATCCTTTGAAGTCGGGATAATAGAATCAGAATTCCAATATTTGCAGCATCGAATATCATTCAATTCATCTATTCATCGTTTAGCGGAAGAAAGCTGACACTTTTCATATAAAACGTAAAAATGTTTGGTAAATTGCAATTTGATTCGGCGAATAAGTCAAGTCTTGACCTGGGAGAGAACTCGCCAAACTTGCCTCGAACTCTATTAGCACGAATATGGTGGATGCGCCCGTCTGACATAATTTAATTGCTTGTAATGCTATTTCAGGAAGGCATGGGTCAACTCAAAATCGTAAGCGGAGGATTACGACTCGAAGGCAAAGCGTTCGTCTTGGACACTCTGATAGCCAGCAGCATCAAATCCAGGACCGGACAGCCGATAATTGTCGAGTCGAGTAGAAACCTGACGCTGGCATCGCGGAGCAAGAACGGCCTGATTAGCAATATGATTTTTCTAGGTACATTTTGATGTAATTTCTGTGGTACTTTTTTTAATAAGGGATGTTTTTGTTGCAGGAGACGACCGCTTCGAGTGCCTGACGAGCACCTTCAAAGTGATGGACGATCGAGGAATGGTGCTTTTTTCGGCGGACCCTCGCGAAGTGGTCGTGGGGGCGGAAAGTCTGAGGGTGACGGGCGAAGGGGGCGCCTCTTTCAGCGGTTCGGTGCAGACGACGCTGGTGCGGGCCGAGCCCGGCAACGACTTGCGGTTGGTTAACTTTTATGAGGCAGGGAGCTTCTCTTCTGGTTAACTTTTATGATATCCTCGACGCTATAACTAATAATTAAGACGCCATCTGCTCACTCAAACTCCCGTGCATATTAATTTGGTTTTCTTAGAAATTTTACGGCGAATGATACAATCTGTTACACGGGACGGAAAGGCGGAACGCCACAGTTCAAAATATTACTCATTTATTTGACATCAAGTTTAATTAAAAACGGATTTCAACTGACAAATAGATTTCTTTGAGACTTGGCTACATCTAGGATTAATTTTTGACCAAGTCCGACGGGTGATAAAAATGAAGTGAATTTACGTTGACAACTAAATACATTTAAAAGTTTTTAAATTTTACACAGAGTTAAAACCGGCGGACATAGACACGGCACGTCCCGCAAACATATTTTAATAAATACGCTTGTTAGCACTCTAAATAATATAGCGTTAATAGGATTGCAATTTTTTAAATTCTGTGAATTTTTAGTATCTACATACATAAAAATACTTACATAGTATATCATTTTTAAGCTAGTATTTACAAGCGTAATTAATTTTTGAACGATGACCATATCACGTAAGAGTAATTTAAAATGAGTAAAATAAAGCGATCAGTAATAATTTTTGCACAGTAAAAAATTAAAAATGATCAGTATAATATAATATTTTGCACAGTAAAAATAATAAATGTCAAGTAAAGCACGCACAGAATTTTTATTGTACAGATTTGTCAACAAGAAATTACCACCTAGGATTTGAACTTTTAGGAAAATTACGTTTTTCATGTTGTTTGCAAGGGCTGAAAACTGTGCGCAAATGGTAATCAGGCTAATAAGCGTAGGTACGCCACTTTTTGCACTGCTCCTGATAGCACGATTTTGTTTTTGAACGCACTGCGACATTCCGTTTTTTTTTTTGAAAATTAAATGTGTGAATATTAAATTAATAATTAGTTTTACTGGACATTCATTCATTGATTGATCAAAAATACGTATAAATAATATACTGTACATTTCATTTATTCCCAACATAAATAACTATTAAGATTGTTACTAAAACCTGAAAACTAAAAAACGCATAACTAAAAAGCTTTATATTTAAATGCTTAATATCGTTGAGTAGAAAATAAATGACGACTTAAAAAATATTTAGTAATAGTGCTGCCTTTACTTGAACTAAAATACTATAAAAAATGCTTTATGTGTTTTATTATAGAACGACAAATCGTCGACTTCAACAATGATTATTTACAGGCTGTCCCACGAGTAATAATGAGCCTGAAAAAATTTTGGAAGCAACCAACATTACATTTCAAAGATAACGTGGATATTAAAATATTTAGTTTTAATAAATTCAACATAGTGACCAAACACAACACTTCAACTTTAATTTATAAAAACTCATACCTTGGAAAATTTGGTGAAAATTACAAAACTTTTGCCGAAAAAACCAACAAAATTCTCATTTAAAAAGAATGTTTGAAAAACGCTTCGCAGACTGCACGTTTCTATTCAGCGTGATATCCAAATAGACGGACTTTCTAAAACTGGTGTGTGTAGTCACTTTGACTGATAAAAATTTGTCAAAAATAAAAATACGATTACTATGTTTAACTCATTAAAACAAAATACGTTATCTATGAAATGTAATGTTGGTTGCTTCAAAAAAAAAACTCGCGGAACACTTTGTATATTTTTAATAACATAATAATTAATTAAAGACATCTTTAAACAAAATAAAATCCCAAACGCCATTAGCTTTAAAAAACGTTTTATTGTTACTAGCTTGTTACTTTTTAAATTAAATTAATGGTAATGTTTAATTTAAGCTTTAATTTTGTTTAAACAATTTGACTGCCTCGTGTACTTTTTTAATTAAAAAAAAGAGAAAACAGGTTTCATTGTGATCAATATTTCAATCAAATCTTGTCCTTTTTTCTTGTAATTGTCTTTCTCTGTCCAGCCTGGAGTCCCCAACCCGTTCGTTGGAAATCCACGGCCCTCAGGGTGTGCACATCGAGTCTCGTGGCGGCAAAATGAAAATCGTCTCTTTAAACGACATCTCGTTCAAATCGGAGGTGGGATCCATCCATTTGGACGCCAGTTCGATCCTTATGCCGATGTTGCCCACCGCCATCCCCACCTCCAAGTCTGCCTCCAACAAAAACCAAATTTTCCAAGTGTGTGTGTGCAACAACGGCCGCTTATTTCTAGTCCCATCTCATCTGCATTGTGCCGCAGAGGAAGACGACAGAATCTGTCGGTAATCGGACCGACACACCGTGTACATAGACTGTATAAAATGCGCCAAATTGTTTATATTGTACATATTTTGTATATGAATAAGATCTGGAACTGGATATAGGACGATTCGGTTAAGTTTTCTATTTATTTACAGCTAGATCGAGCCTAATGTGACATGTTTAGAAAATAATAAATTATTTCTGTTTGTAATGTGTGTTTTTAAACGAAATAGACGACATGCAACGCGCTCATTATTTCGAAACAAGAGGACGGCTTTTAATAAAAATGACAGGGCATCAACACTTTCATCATAAATTTATATTTAAAGGCTTTTTTTCTAAAAAATCGGATTAAAAATACACTCGCGACCAAGGTACAATAATAAATTAAGTCGAAGGCCACTAAATCCATATTTAATCAAATAAAGTGGAAATTTTTCAACTTACAATAAAACTGTAATTATCATGAAGTGACAGTCATGGTTTTATTTAGATAATACACAACATTATCTCAACATTAAAAGAAAAATAACAAAGATAAGAATTTTAGAGGATATTGTTAGACCAGTCACAATGATACTTTCACGATATTTACATCCACTAAAACAAACACTGAGACGCTTCACTTCAGACACTTCAATTAAATCAAAAGCAAAAGAAATTCAAATACCTAAAACCACTCTTCATGAATTTTTATGGCAAAACTTGGAAAAATGGCCCGATAAAACCGCAACAGTGAGTACCAAAAAACCGTTTATAAATCACAATCATCCCCTATTTCCCTTTAGGTCTGTTTTGAAACCCAACGTAGCTATACTTACCACCAAATCTACAAAAAGAGTCTCTCAATTACCAATTTTCTGAAAAATTCCCTAAAATTAAATAGACAAGACACCGTTGGGGTTGTTTTACCCAACACTCCCGAATACCCTATTGTTCTCTTGGGGGCAATTCAAGCTGGCTTGCGGGTAACAACATGTAACCCCAATTACACATCGGGTAAATCACCCAATCGTAGCTTTCCATTTGTCAAATTCTTATTGTAGAAGAACTTAGCAGACAGTTGAACAATTCCCAATCGCGGCTTGTTTTTACATCACGTGAGCTGCTCCCATTGGTTCGTCAAGCAACAAATTTCCCGGTGGTAGAAATCGCCAATGACGTAAGTAACCAAAAAGTGGTACCTATTTAAAAAAAAAATGTACGAAAAACATGCAGACTCAAATTTTAGAGAAGTGTCACTAGTGGCACCATCAGTTTTCACGAAATTTCATCAGGAGAGGGTTGCCAACCGGTCACTGATGCTAGCTGTGATGATATTATTTTTTTGCCATATTCGAGTGGTACTACTGGATTACCCAAAGGTGTACAGTTAAGTCACCACAACATTGTTGCCAACTTATGCCAAATTTGCTCACCTGAATTTGCCCTCATAAGAAGTTACGACGATGAACGTAATTGTAGTTTTTTTTCGTAACTAGAGACAAAAAAATTGTTTTTCAGGCCAGGATGTAATCCCCGCTTTTTTGCCCTTTTTCCATATTTACGGTCTTGTCGTAGTTTTACTCGAGAGTCTCCTTCAGGGAGCTAAGCTAGTGACAATCCCCAAATTCTCATCGGACAATTTTGTCAAACTTTTGAAAAACTACAAAAATGACGTTATTTTTGCAGTGCCTCTAGTCGGTAATTCCTCTGAGACAACTTTTAGAAATCATAATCTTAATTAGTAACCAAATAAAAATTTCAGTGATAATGGCTATAAATCATCCAAATATCACCAAACACGATTTGATGAACACTCGAACAATAATGTCGGGAGCAGGCCCCTTGGGAGGCTCTGATATTGAGCGTTTTCGGGCCAAAACCGACAATAAAGTATCTCTAATACAAGGATATGGTATGACTGAAACCGGTCCTGTCACTATAATCCAATCGGAGAATCTCCCCAATGGAGTCAAGATCGGAGGGAGTGGCTTCTTAGTCCCCAACACTCAAGCCCGAATAATCCCCATCGAGTCTTCTTTCGAAAATCTCCCCCCAAACAAATCTGGGGAACTTATTGTCAAAGGTCCCCAAGTCATGCCAGGCTATTACAATAATCCCCAAGCCAACCAAGACATTTTTCTGGAAGATGGCTGGCTCCGAACTGGTGACATCGGTCACTACGACGAAGATAACCATTTTTTCATCACTGATAGGTTGAAAGAACTGATCAAAGTCAAGGGATTTCAAGTAGCACCGGCAGAACTTGAAGCTGTTTTAAGGGAACATCCGAGTGTTGACGATGTAGGAGTTGTAGGAGTGGCTGATCCGGTCTTGGGGGAGGTGCCTAAAGCTTTTGTTGTTGTTAAATCAGCACAAGAAGTGAAAGCGAAACATCTGGAGGAGTTTGTAGCTAGTAAAGTAGCAAAGCATAAACATTTGAAAGGAGGAGTGGTTTTTGTGGAGGCGATACCTAAAAATCCCTCAGGGAAGATTTTGAGAAGAGAATTGAAAAAAATGTAGGCGGGGCGTTTTGAATAATGAGTTCTGGACTAGGGAGAAAACAGGAAACGAAAAAATCGTTGAAAATCCCAAAAAAAAAATGGGTATAGATATTCCAGGCCACGCCTCTCGTCTGTTCTATTTAATTTATTTTAATAAACTTCGGCTAAACATTTTATTGTTGTATTTATTAACATAAATAAAATATAATAGTGAACAGTGTGTTTATGTCATAATGACGATTTTAAAACATTTTTGTTTATTACTCAAACCACCACTCAGAAGATTTTGTGATAATATAATATTATTTTATAACGACAATGTGATCACTTCAAAAGCACAACCACTTCACATTCCCGAAATTAATCTTCCAGAATTTATTTGGCAAAATTTAGATAAATGGCCTGATCGAACAGCTATTGTGAGTAAAAAAGTTGTCAAAAAGTTATTTTTAACTCAATTTTAGACATGTTTAGAAACAGGCAAAAGCTACACTTATGCGCAACTCTACAAGAGTAGTTTATCAATAGCTCACTTTCTTCGAGATTCCTTAAAATTGGAAAGACAAGATACTGTAGGAGTAGTGTTACCCAACGTTCCTGAGTATCCTATAATTGTGTTAGGAGCGGTTCAGGCCGGTCTGAGGGTAACAACAATCAATGCTCAATATACGTCGGGTAAATTTCCTTAAAATATCAGCCCCCACAAAATCAGAAAAATGTTTTAGACGAGATTAGAAGACAGTTAGAAAATTGTAAATCAAAGCTTGTTTTTACTTTATCTGCGTTATTACCAGTGGTACGCGAAGCCACTACCAATCCAATTGTGGCCCTTGGAACCAATGTAGGTACCTTTGACAATGACTTTAAATCAAAAATAGCTTTTTCAGACTGATACGACTGGTACCATTAATTTTGATAAACTTTTATCAAAACAAGGTGATAATTATATTGAACATGCCGAAGGTAACGAAACTGTTTTCCTTCCATACTCTAGTGGCACTACTGGTCTCCCTAAAGGGGTAGAATTGACCCATTCTAGTATAATAACAAATCTGCTACAACTTACGTCACCAGAATTTTGCATAATCCCTCAAGGTGGAAGAAATTGAAAAATATATTTTTTATAAATTTGCTTACTTTTTTAGAATCCTGGAAAATTCCAGGTTATTTACCATTTTGCCACATTTATGGTCTTGTGGTAATTCTTTTGCAGTCATTTTTACAAGGTGCTACGGTTATAGCAATGCCAAAATTTTCGGCAAATCACTTGATTAATGTGTTGAAAGAACACAAACCCGATGCAATTTTTGGCGTACCCCCTATTGGTTGGTACCCCTTTAATACAATTTATCGATTGATTAACTTTCATAAATTTGTATTTTTAGTACAATTACTTGTCCAACACCCAAACATCACAAGCAAAGACTTGCTTCCACTCCGCTTGATCACCTCAGGAGCTGCCCCTCTAGCCCCCATAACTATCGAACAACTCCTTTCAAAAACCCACAATAAAGTCAAATTTTTAGAAGGCTACGGGATGACCGAAACTTCCGCCGCTGCCATAATCCAAACTACTTTTCTCGAAAATGGCTTTAAAGTTGGCGGCAGTGGTTTTGTTCTCCCCAACACTCAAGTCAAAATTATTCCAATGGACGGCTCAACCTTGCAAGGTCTTCCTCGAAACCAACCGGGCGAACTCGTAATCAAAGGCCCTCAAGTGACCAAAGGCTACCACAACAACCCCGATGCCACTAAAAGTATTTTCATCGATGGGTGGCTTCGCACTGGCGATTTAGGTTACTTTGATGAACACGAGCATTTTTTTATCACCGGTCGTTTGAAAGAAATGATTAAAGTAAAAGGGTTTCAAGTGGCACCGAGCGAGTTGGAGGAGGTTTTGAAGCAACATCCTCGAGTGAAGGATTGTGCCGTTGTGGGAATCCCCGATAGTGTTTCAGGGGAAGCACCCAAAGCTTTCGTTGTTGCCAATTCGCCGATTTCAGACAAAGAATTGCAAGATTTTGTAGCTAAAAGAGTTTCAAAGTATAAAAGATTGAAAAGTGTCAAGTTTGTTCAAGCTATTCCTAGAACCGCCACTGGGAAAATTTTGAGGCATGAGTTGCAATAGTCACAAATAAAATAATGCATGATTTATTTTTTTTCTTTTAAGTTCATAGCCTTTGAAAAATTCCGGGACGATTACAAAACAATTTTGCATATTAAATGTTGTGAATAAAAGAATTGCGCAGTGAGGTTTTTTGTTACGTGTGATGTAACCTTAATTTCGCAATAAACTATCTAAAGCCGCCTTTAGTAAACGTCATTTTCTGGAACGTAACCTCACTTTTTGTGTTTGTTGTGTGGCGCTTTTTTTTCACATTCTGAGTTAAAAACCGCTTTCTAGTGGCAAAAATGCCACCCATGAAGCTGCAGAATAACGGGGGCGGTGGCGACGTGAGTGACGGCAACGTTTCGGGGGCGGAATCCGACCATTCGAACACAAGCCGCGAAAATGACGCAGGGCACGATTCGAGTGAAGATGAGGTTGATTCGGATGACTCGTCCGAAATGGACGAAGGAGAATGCGAAAACCGACGCAACGAACTGCTTCAACATGTCCAAGACCTTGAAAATCAATTCGGGCACTTGCGGGAGCAGCTGTTCAAAGAACGAATGGCTCAGGTGAGCCCCACGTTTCTGTGGACCGGAGGGTGACGTATGTGTTGTAGGTTGAGCACCAGTTGGCTGAAGTAAAGGCCGGCCGATCGCCGGATTATTTGGGGCCCCTGCAAGAGCTCCAAGAGAATATGAGGATCCGGACGGAAGTCGCGGGGATTTTGAGACAGTTGAGACTCAATAATATTAATAATCATTTTGAGGCTGAGGAACAAGCCGCGTTACAGAACCTCGAAAGTGAGAAAAAACTCGCTTGGGACTATTATTATAGTGAGTTGATGGACACTATTCGGAAATTGGAGGAAGACAGACACAATAGTGAGATCACGTGGGGTGAAGGGGGCGAGTGGGGGTCGCGGTCTCGGTCCCGATCGCGGCGTAAGGCCGTCACTGTTTCAGGCCCATACATAGTCTACATGCTTAAACCTCAGGATATCATGGAAGACTGGACGACAATAAGAAAAGCGCTCAAAAGGAGTCAATAGTTGAGTAGTTTTTCCTCTTGTACATAAAAAGTAATTCAACAGACAAAAATTTATTCACTTTTCACCTTAGAATTACAAAATCTGTTAAACCTCCATTATTAAATAAATATACAGTTTCAGGTAAATTATTTACAATTGCGTTTTGCGGAAGAGGCTTATTTCATAAGAGAATGTACGACGGCCTTTGCGTTCAATGCTTTAAGATCAGTGTATGTCTGGCCGGTGCCCACGAACACGATCGGCTGGCCCGTTATGTAAGTCATGGAAATGGCAGCCCCAACCTGAAATAAATGCAATTTTTACGTTTCGCTGAAATTTTTTTCAACCCCGCAAACCGATTCAACAATATTATCCACGTATTAAACCAATTAACGATTGTCAAAAACTCACCTTATCGTCGATGGTATCGAATTTTGTCAAGACAATTCCGTCGATTATATGCGGATTGCTACTCGATGAGTAATCCGCTAAAGCTTGGTTGAATTTAACAAGTTGATCCACTGCTTCATTCCCTACAAGTGCTTCACCAACGAAGAGAACAAGATCGGGTTCATTAACCTTAATCAACTTAGTTAATGCTCTCATCAGGGGCTCATTATCCTGCATGCGTCCCGCCGTGTCAATCAAAACAACATCGAATTTCGAATCCGTGGCATACTTAATGGCCTCCATGGCAATCCCTGCTGCATCCTTCCCATATCCTTTTTCATACAACTGGACCATCTGACGCCCTCCATGTCTTTCTGGTGGATGCAAAGCGTTCAGGTGTCGCATATGCGTGCGCAATTGTTCAACTGCTCCAGCACGGAACGTATCGCAAGCGGCGATCAACACTCTCATATTATTTTCAATAAGCCAAAAACATATTTTTGCCAAGTTTGTGGACTTCCCGACGCCATTCACGCCGCAGAAAGTCATGACGTAGGGACGGCCCGAACGTTGGGCCTCCATACAATCTCGGAGGATGTCGACACGACGTTTCGGACTTAAAATCTGGACCAATGACTCTGTTAGGGTTGATTTCACCGTGGAGGCGATACTTTCAAAAGTACCCAACACTTTGCCTTCGAGTTTTAAAGCCACAGATTCGCAGAGTTTGATGGCAATGTCGGCGGCGACGTTCTTCGCAATTAGGTGGTCTTTCATCTTGTCCAGAGCCGGCTGCATGTCGGCAGCGGTGAGGTTTTTAGAGCCGACGAGGCCTTTGAAAATTGAAAACATGCCGCCTCGGGATGAGGGCTTTTGATTTGTTTGTTGATTTGGAGTCTCCTCTTCGTCATATTCCTCATCTGAGGAGGACTCCACTTCTAGATCCTTTATTACGCCCTTCATTAGACCTACAATCTATACAAAAATAAAATTAACTGGAATTAAAAATTCAGTTCAAAATTTTACTTCCGTATCTGGTGTGAAATGACTTTTAATGTCTTCTGGCTTGTCTGTTGTCCTTTCCAGAGTTTCCAGATCTTTATTAGTGCCGCCCAAATCCCAAATTCGAGGTTTTTTACCGGCCTTTTCAGACGGTTTCGGACTCTTCCTGTAAACATCAATAAGAAAAAATTTAGCTTTGATATTTCATTTATTACTTGGTTTCAGTTTTCTTCTTGTTCATCTTTTGTGCAAATTTTGCCCTATTAGCCGCAATCACATCCTCGTCAATTACGTGGTTATTTTCTTTAGGTGAGGGCGGCGTTTTCGGGGGCTCCTCACTGAAATTTACTTCTTTTTTCTTCTGTTTTTTCTCTTCTCCCTTCCGCTCAATCATTGAAGCTACCGTTTTTTTCGACTTATTTGACTGCTCAAAAGTACGCATTGCTTTAGGGGCCTTGGCTTGGTTTTTGCCCCATTGCTCGGCCGCCTGCAAAGTGGCATTAAACCTATCCACGAAGTCGAATTCTTGAAAATATCTTCCATCCGCGAGGTCATTTTTGTACTTATCCCTAAATTCCAGATGAACGTCGTTTAAAAACTTGTCCACATACGACAGCTGCAGAATTTTTTGATACGCAACAACGAAAACTAAATCGAATTCGTTATCTAATTTGTATTGAAGAGTGAGACCGTCGTGATCGAAATTGTGGACTCCTGTACGTTCCTACAAGGAGTACACTTAGCATATGTCGAGGAGGAAGCTTTTGGTTACCTGGAGGATCACATTGCGGATCAATGCGTTCACTGAGGATGTAAACACTTGATTCGTGCTTTGGAAGCACCACAAAACGATGCCTCCTTTACTAAAAATAGTAAATAAGTCCAACATGATTCAAAATTTTCACGACCAGGATACACGTCAGTTGGGAACTGTCACTGTCAAACTTACAGAATTCTAATTTACCGTCATTCGTTTAATTACGCTTTTTTTGTTGTTTTCTAGGGAAAAACGACACAAAAGTAACTTATTAGAAGAAATAAGATTTAAACTTTGGTTTATAGTATTAATTTTAATAATTATTTCTCAATAATTTCAATTTTTTTTGTGAGGAAGTGTCAAACGTGCCAAATGTCGATGTCAATACAAATTTAAATACAATCAAACAACTGGACCCCAAATTTCTGGAATTATGATAATGAAGTGACTGACATTTGAAAAACCCAATTATCATGCATTCAAAGCAGTTCGCATTGACTCCAAGGCCGCTTGAAATGGTAACGCGCCCTAACCTCACTTCCCTGTTTACCTCTTGTCATTTTAGCCTTTTCTAATTATATTACTACTAATCGCCCCAACTTCATCTGCAAAAGAGTCCAAATTCCAAAATCTAAACATTTCATTAACTCAAAAAGTTGATAATGAGGGATTCCACCGCGAACTCAAGTGGCTTCTCGAACGGGGCCCCACCACCTTTGATTGTAAACTAGCAATTCAACTCAATGTGGGCCCCGAAATGTACTTGAACCCTGATCAAATCGCCGATTTAAATCGTTTGAGGCATCTATCAGTTCTCATAGATGGCGAGGTGGATATTGAGACGCCTGCACATTTATCCACGAGGCACATCGCTTACATTTACGTGCCCCCTTTTGAGGAAAGAGTGTCTTTAAACATCCCGTTCCATTTGCGATACCAGCGAGCGCAAATTTCGGGGGGGTATGGCAAAGTCATTGTGAATAAACCCAGCGTGTTGGCACTGTGCCCCCAGAGTTGCGCTCGGAGCGAAGTTAAAGCCCCTTGTGACATAAGCAACCGTATTTTATGCAAGTGGAATAATGTCAGTTATCAGGCTTTGTTTGATGAGGTTGAGTTGCTTGTCCCTGTGGGGGACCTGGACGACTACCCTTTGGTGTCAATTGTGACGCTACTTTTAGGGTGCGCTGGATGCATTTACACCTTATCAGTATTATCAACGACTCCGCTTTAAAGCCAAAGAACCCAAATTTTGTTTGTGATATTATTTTGTATTTAAATAAAGGGATTAAACAGTTACTGATTATTTATTGGTCATTTGTCACATTACATGTGTAGCAAAAGCACAGTAAAAATAGCTTAGCAAATCACCCGACAAACCTACAACTAGTGATAATGAACGGAAAGTCTTAATTTGATTATGGAATGTTTCGGTTATTGCACATGCACAGAAAGTGGTTTTATTAACACTTCATGCGAGCCTAATATTCTGAAGCAAAAGTGTTAATAATGATGTTACATGTTGAAAAGCGTCCTTCATAGCGGTTTACTTCGTTTCGAGTCGCTCTGCAAAAAAATAGTTATATGTAGAAGTTATTTCCTGTTAACTGCGAAACGATTAGACTCAAACAGGGCTATACTTACATCCGAAGTTAGTATTTTTGTCAACGAAGTGATGGATCTGCTCAAGGATTTGACCAATCCCAACGATTCGGACCGTTGATGTCGCCACTAGACTCACATTTATAGTGCAAAAGAATTAACACAATGAAAAGTGAAGGAAAAACAAGGAACTAAGGGTAAAAAGCGACAACAAAAGCACCAGCGAAACCTAAATTAGTGCCAAGCTTTATCAACTCCATCAAATAAGAAAATAATTGGAAAAACATGCGTTAGTGGTGGGGTAAATAAATACTATTCCGGTCGATAAACATATGAATTTATTTTTATAAACAATGTTAACAAAACTACTATAAGGGCCCCTTCAGCACACAGCACTTTTTAAGGTAAAACACCCCAATTTTCAAGGGTAAATAAAAAGCAGTGGGCCCCTTCAGCACACAGCACTTTTTAAGGTAAAACACCCGGATTTTCCAGGTAGTTTAAAAACACATCAAATAATCATAAAAATACCCCCGATTTCCAGGTAGTTTAAAAAAAACATCAAAAATTCAAACAAAACCCCTGATTTTCCAGGTAGACATCCACTCCGTGGACTAGTGCTTCGCCTGATAAAAAAATAACCCAATTTTTTCAAGGGTAAACTGAAAAGCAGTGGGCTCCTTCAGCACAAAATTGAATACAGCTTCATTCAAACAAATTCAGGTAAAGTCCTCATTGTGGTTTCTCTATAAATAATGAAATTCCAACAAACTTTATTTAATCGTTTATTTCAAATTATTATTTATAATTTTTCTGACATCAATGATGATGAAGATGATTTCGGTGGCGACGGTGTTGTTGAGGGAGGTGACGGTGACGGCGACGGGGAAGATGGCGAAGGGCATGGTGCCCTAACTCCTTCTTTGCACCTACAAAAAAAAGTTACAGTTTGTATTAGATATATATAATGGATGATAACAAACACAAGATGTTGTTTTTAATACTGTAATAAAATAATATACTTTAAATTCACATCTGTTTTATTTAATAAATTATTTTTTCTTGTGTTTTGTTAAACACCTTAAGCTGTTATAAATTATATAATAGAGAAAATTTACTTACACAGCATTATTGCAAAATTCTTGTTTCATTTGTTGCGACGGAAATCTTAACATTCGGTCTAAAAGAACTTAAAAAAGGATATTTTCCACATTTCTTCAATACTACAGAAAATCAGAACTATATTGGAAAAATACCTGATACAAAATACTATGGTGTTAATTCTATGAAACCAAAA